GGTATCAAAAAAAACTTTATATACTATCATATAAAAGCTTATTTATGGTCATAAATAGATTTTTTAAATTTACATAATAAATTTATATTTTTTTATTTTCTTTACGAGTTATTTATGTTAATTCATATGAATCTATATCCTCATTTAGAAAATTTATTTTTATATCTATATGATATAACTTAAAACCATGATGAGTCAATAATATTATGATGATTCTTCATGAATGTATTTTAAAAACTAAAGAAAATATCTTGTTACGATGGATACATTCTTTATGAGTAAAATCTTTAACCAAAGTTTGATTTTTATATTATTTAATATTACCTTTTGAGTAATGTTTATGTAATAGACTCTTTTATTATTATTGAATAATTCGATGAGTTCTCAAATATTATTCTGGTCTATTAATTTCAACTCTTCTTTTATTGCATCGTACTATTTTTTAGAATTGTTACTTTCCATAATTTATGAAAACAATGAGGGATTATTTTTTATTCTTATATCATAATTTAATTCATGTAGATATATCATATAATCAACAAAAATTGTAGGATTTCTTTCCTTTTGAAACATTCTCAAAACTATCGATTGTGATTATTTTATAAGTTCATTAACACAAATATCAATATTATGTAGAAGTTCACCGTTGTTATTTTGTTATTTACTTTTATTAAATCATTTATTAAATTGAGAAATAATAATCTCTTGAATATAAAATATAGAAGAGTATCAACCTATATATCGTTAATGTCAAGGTTAAAATTTGAGATTTTCACTTATACTAATTCATTATTTTTTTAGAAATTTGTATCATTTTAAAAATTTCTAAATAAATAATAAAATATGCAAAAATACTCCTTGAATCCAAATTCTTTTCATATGAATTGCTAACTCTAATCTCTTTGATATAATTATAAATATGTAAATGTCTTAAGTTAGATTTTTTATGAGTTTATAATTCAAAAAAGTTGATAGAGTTGACTAACTAGGAACCTATTCAAATATATATATATATATATATAGTCATCCCTAGAGCTTCTCTTCATATTAGTACAAAAGAACAACTTATCATGCTTTTAACTATATCCATAAGAGTATGATTTGTCTTTCAACAATCTCATTCTATTATGGCACATATAGTACAACATACTTAGCACAAATATATTATTTTTTTAATAATCTAGCAAAAGAACCAGAATTATGATCAGGTTTATCGTAATTACTATAATTTTATAATTGAGGATATAAGTAAAAAAAATTAATTTTTGAAGGGTAAAACTATAAATTTTCTTAGGATATATACTAAAAAAGAATTATTTCTGAAGGGCATAAATGAATATTTGATTTTAGGGATATATATTGGAATTTTATTTATTTTTAAGGGGTAAAATTATCATTTTTAAAAATCTAATTCTTACTTCCATTTTTATGATTGGTATATGAGGCATGCAGTTGTCGCCTTAGGCGATTACTATTCTTATACAATTGATCGACAACCCCTCCGATCATCATGAAGTGTTGTGTTGCCGTGCCCATACGCTGCCTGACTATCGGGGTGAGGGTTGTTAGGAGTGTGGTTATGCCCACGCTTTCGCTTGGGCAATCGTTGACCTTCGACGTCCAATTGACAGTGCCTGCAGCTTCCAAATGTCGTAACAGCATTGCTGAAGCCGCCATAGGCATCAAAGCTATTGTAATCGTCGCATACGATGATACTGTTGCAACCTCTTGCGACTAAGGTAGGTTAACCACCATAAGGTTGTCACACCCCACGGTACTTCCACTACGTATGCAATCATTGCTCGTGACTAGTTTGATGTCCATCAAAGGTCGTTGCCCTCAATCATACTATCGTCAACAATATATTATCGATAGTGGTCTATCAAATAAAATACTGAAAACCTCACATCGCCCGTAAGCAGATGATAGAATCGACTAGATAGAAAATAAATTGACAATACAAACAAATCGTTCGAGCATCGTAAATCAAAATCAGATAATATCTTTTCACAAGCGAGGGTACTAACAAATAAATCTAAATACAAAATAGATTTAAAATACTTTTATGATGTAAAGTATTTGATTTCAAAATATAGTTGTGATACTAATGGTAAACATAAAAACTATTATATGCTACTGAAAAACTTTAATACAGAAAACTAAAATCAAATAATAATAGATTAAATATATGATATATATTTTTTAATATCATTTAGAAGGTCTTTATTTAATCTGGAAGCACACCATCGTCGGATCTAAAAATTATAGCAATATCGATATGCAATGAGAACTAGACTCATCTTTTTGACTCTTTTTATCGTTCATAAGACCGCTATGAGCGATGGATTAAGAACTAAGGAAATAAGAGAAGATACGTAATATTTCAATAATGGGTTATTTTGTCCTAAGGAGGTTTTGTCATTTTATAAGCAGATAGAAGATTTAGGATAAGTAATCAGGAGAGTCCCTTCCATTAAGATAATCTACGATAGAAAGATAGAACGATGTAATTTAACAATAGTAAGAAATGATATCAAGCTTGACTTCATGTGTTCTTAACTGCAAGAAAGTTTTTTGTAGGGTTGATGAAGTTGATGAATCCAAAGTTGCTTAATCTGAGATTGGTTGTTGGAATGTTGTCACTTCATTAACCGGTAAATGACTGAGATCTGAATTAGCAGAAGGGAGATGGTCACTCTTTCTTCTTCATGCATGTGGCAGTCCTATCTGTCACAGCAAGTTGAGAAGAAGCTTAACAGTTCAAAGTCCAAAGAATTAGAGAGAGAGAGTGATGGCAATCAGTTCTATTCACAGATACAATTACACCTTAAAAAAGTGGCTCCACTTGCAATGTCTTTATCTCAAAACACTCAGTGGGAAACAATTGAAATCCAAGTTCTATTCACAGAAAACATGTACACACACCTACCTTGTGAAAGTAGAACTCACTACCAACTATCATTCTTTGCCACTTTCTCATCAAAATTAATTGCTGTCACAATTAGACGTTCAAGTAGCTTCCTTCAGATGATCCAACTTACAAATATGTTATTATGATTGATGATCTTCAACTTGCAACGATTAATCTCCTCAAACATGTGATTCCAAGTTGTATTGCCTTATGAGTTTTAAGTTTAAATCAAGATCAACGCTGAGTTTTCTAAGGCTTGCAATCCCAACTTACATACTATCTGACAAGTGAAGAACAGAAGGAAAGAATAGTTTAAGACCAGAATTTTCTAGGAAGATTAGGAGGAGATAAAGAAATTAACATGAAGGCATAGCAAGACGTCTTAAGAGCAGATATTTTTGTTGAATAGTATGCAGCAACAACAGAACCTTTCGTCAGAAATATTTGGATCAGCCCTGTGGGAATTAAGAGTCCACACTATTAAGCCTCTGAAGAAGAAGAAGAAGAAGAAGAAGAAGAAGAAGAAACTATGAGAGAGCAGAGAGTATATATATATATATATATATATACTGAGTCACCTCCTTGTGTGATTCACCTGTCTCGGCCAAAGCAGGAGACAGATTTATTCGTCCAAGCCAAGCAAGCCTGATCATCAAACTGCGGTAGCTCAGCTGTTTCATTAAGCCAGTCCATCTTGGGCCGCCCAAGTCTTCCGCCAAACAGGCTCCGGCTTTCCTTGGTTCACATCCCATAGGGACCCACTCAGACAAAGAATAGAAAATCATTAACTATTGGGCCCCACAGTTCATGTCCATTTGCACGGGATTGGAGAGAGGTAAACCCTGTTCCCTGCGTTGGAAAGGACAGGTGTTCTTCAGATGAAGAAGGAAACAGTTTTATTTTCTTTGATTGACGTGGCGTAAGGAGAGAGGTCAAAAGAGTGGCCGCGTGTACTTGCGAGGTGAGCAGCTCACCAGAGCCGGTGCCTCCGCACGTGCGACATCCTTGTTCCCTAGCGCTCTCGCCAAAGCCGGAGCCCTTCGTACCCGGAGGCGGGAGCAGTCTTGGATTGCCGACCACCCGTTCGACGGAGATCTCCGGCGGCGGCGATGGTATCGTTCCTGAAGGCTCTGGTGTACGGCGCGGGGGGCTTGGTTGTGGTGGGGATGGTGGCGCTGGTGACGTTCCAGGAGCGGCTGGTGTACGTCCCCGTGCTCCCCGGGCTCGCCCGTGCCTACCCCATCACCCCAGCCCGCCTCCGCCTCGACTATGAGGACGTCTTTCTCCGGGCCGCGGACGGCGTCCGCCTCCACGCCTGGTTCGTCAAGCACTCCCCCCCGAAACCAGGTGGACTCTGCGACCTACTTGATCTTTCTGGGGTTCTTCTTCACGATCTTTTTCTGTTCTTTTGTGGGACTTCGGTGGATCCCCTTTGGAATTGCACGATTCCTCTTGGATAATTGTAGATGATTGTGAATTTTGTGTTTTTTTTTTTCCTTCGAGGAAACGAAAAAGATTAGGGTTTTGTGAGGTTTCGGGGACAGATCTAGAGCAACGTTTAAGGCTACTCGGACGTGCTTTCTTGGTTTCTTTTGCTCCTTGTGATAAGCAACTTTCGTTTTGTGTTTTATCTTAATCAGGAAGAGAATTTTCCCTCCCTCACGTTCTTGGTCATTTTTTGCGTTAGTTCCGAGTTCTACGAGTTAGGATCAGGGTACTCAAAGTGCTGTTCTTGGGACTTAGCCTATATTTTATTGAATGGTGATGCTTTTTTATCATTTATCATCTTATGTCTGAGTCTGGTGACAAATTGTTGCTCTTTTTCTCTCCTTTCAGTGTCAAATTTTGTTGTTGAGGAGGTCATGAAACTTCTCACATTCAATTTCCATATTAGTTTTTGGTACTTGTTTGAATTGTGTTCTGTCAGTTCGACAATCTTGAGATGCAATGGATAATTTTCACATTTTTGCTACAAATATGTAAATTATCATTGCAATAGTTAAGTGTTTTTTTAAACATTTTTTGGGGTGCCAGTTGAGTTGTTTCTCTGGTGTTAAAACAGTTAATGTGGTAAATTAGGAAAGATTCAACTGGAGTGGCACACATACAATTGTGTGTTTTAGTAGATGAACGAAATAGTGATTGCAACCACAACAATTCTTTAGGTATAGATTCAAAAGAAAAAATGGATGAAAACAAATGAGATTTATATTGAGCCTTGTGCATGAGCATTTGATTGTAGAATTTTACTTATGATTGTAAAAGAATGGCCTAATATGCATTTAGAAGAGAGGAAATATGAAAAATTAACTAAATAGATCTCAATTAGAGAAATACAGATTTAGAAAGATTAATGCTGTATACAGTCTGACATCCTACATCATGGTCTAGGAACTTGGTGCAAGGTTTGAAGTTTTTATCTGAACCTGTACTGATTTCTAGCTAGATTGTTACATACCAGCGTACCAACACATCAACATATTGGTTGTCATGGACCAAACAGATAGAGGGAGAGACCATTTTGACCAGCGTACATCAGTGTACCAGTACATAGCATATTGATTGATACATACCAATACCAATAATGCCTATATCTAACTTAGACCATTTTAGATTTAAGGGCTCATTCTTGTATAGTATTTTCTTTTCTCTATTATCTCAGTTGTTTAGTTCTCTAGCTGATAGCTTAGGAGGCCCTTTCTCTTCTTTGAATTGTTGAAACACTTGTTAGAGACTTTCAACCAAGAAAAGCCTCATCTAGGAAGGCTGGCTAGTTATTTCTTGTGGAATATTGAAACTTGAATTTCATGGATTATCTCCCTTAGTACTAACTTTAGACATAAGGGCAATTTCCGTGGGTGGAAGATATTCTCATGTACGATTTTGGGATTTGCTGGATGAAATTAATGACCAGGATGAATGTTGGTTCAAAGTGAAGCAAATTATATGGAAGTTCTACAAAATTATTATTGAAGCGACCATATAAAGATACTCTAGGATTGTAGTCTAACCTTCTTCAAAGGTCACATTAGTAGGACATAATTCAATCCTCATCCTAAAAACTTTTATCATGTATAAATTTATAACAGTTACTGAACATAAATAATATCTGTTTTCATTTTTGAAAATAGTGTATTTTTTGCATTTCAATCACTTTCTCCCTGTTTGTAAGCATTGTATCATTGTTTTGCAGGTCCAACAGTACTTTTCTTCCAAGAAAATGCTGGCAGTATCCTGAAAAGTGTTTGTCTCTAATAAACTGTCTTCTAATTCAATTAATGTTGTATTTTGTATTTATTAGAAGCCTTAAACCAAGTTGCTAGATATTGCTCACCGGCTTGAATTTGTCCGGATAATGATGCAGAGACTGCAGTGCAATGTATTCATGCTTTCATATAGAGGGTATTTTTTGTGCCACAAGATTGTCTGGTTTCTTGTTAGTTGCTATCTGATATTTGGCAATTAATCACTTCTTACATGTAATCATGGGAAAAATGCATGCATGATAATGCAGGTACGGGGAAAGTGATGGTCACCCATCACAGCATGGCATCATAATGGATGCTCAGGTTTGTTAGTGTGATGCTTAGGATTGTTAATTTGTGTTTGTGTGTTTTCTGTGTTATTGGATTTCTAATCATGACTACCAAGTTTTATTTCTTAATTAGGCAGCATTAGATCATCTAACACAGAGAAAAGATATTGACACATCAAGAATAGTTGTCTTTGGGAGATCTTTAGGAGGTGCAGTTGGTGCAATGCTTGCAAGAAATAATTCTGACAAGGTATTTATTCAAAACCAACTGTTTGTTTCTGTATGGTCGAGTTGTTGTTGCTTTTTGATATTGCAGGTGTGATGTTGAACTGCAGTAGCAAATCAATATCATGATTCTTCATGTATGATTGTTTGACAATTACCTTTAGATTTGGTACATCACTACTTTTTTTATTCTTTTATCAATGGCTTGTTTGCTTTCTGTTTGCTTAAGTTTGAGGTGTATATAAGCTCCTTATTTGGCAATAAGTCTCCTAGGATGTACTGGGAACTTCTCATGTATCAAGTGATTTAGAGCTTGGCAACTTGGCACTCATCAATTCTGGTTTTCATTTTATTTTTATTAAAAAAACAGTGGATATGCAAGACCAACCATTAGTAATCACTGATAATTGTGTTGTTGTTAACTGGAACATTAAAGGATCTGCAATTTCTCCTTCCATTTGAGGAAAAAATTATTGTTGTTAATTAGTCTTCCTGTAGGATTTGACTAGGTTGCTGGCTTGTCATTTTTGGGTCTTGATTGCTGTAAAGCTCAGAAGTGGTTCTACACTAAATTCAGGTCTTAAGTCTTAATGCTACACTAAGATGCATTTTTTAGCTCTTCCTCATCTTCATATTGGTCTGTAAATTATTCTGATTGAACTTGTTTGTCTTTGCAAAATATCTGCTGTTGGATTATAATATTTAGTAAGTTCTTGAATCTTAATTGTATCATTCTAATTCCAGGTTTCTGCTCTCATATTGGAGAATACTTTCACTTCCATCTTGGACATGGCCGCGATTATGTTTCCTTTCCTCAAATGGTTTATTGGTGGCAGTGGATCGAAAAGTCCAAAGGTTCTCAATTGTATTGTACGCTCACCATGGAGCACAATAGATATCATTGACAAGGTGAGTCTCCATATTCATGGAAAAATTTTCTGAGTTAGCTTATGGGTTATGACTGTCACCTTCATTAAAAGTGTCTATAATTTATTGATATTGCAGAATAGTTGATATCTCATATTGACTTGAATTGATTGCCTTCCCTTTTTATATGAAAAGTAAATTGCCTGGTTGTTATTTTATTAACTTTATGTTTGAGTTATTTTAAGTTCAAGACTAGTCAAATTATTTGACCCATATATGACCGTTTTGCTAACATCATGACCTATGGTCTAACAAAAGATTCATTCTGCAACCATCTGGCATCAGAATGAATTTGTGGCAGGAGTCTGCATAAAATAGCAAGAAATTTTTTTATAATTGCAGGGTGTTTGCTTTTGTGATTTGTCTTGTTGGGTCATAATATATTTTTTTTTCTTAAAATTGTTTTCACCATCCAGTCAGACCAAAACCTTCCAAGCTCTTTTGAAGACTTAAGTCAAATATGTCTGCAGTTACCTTTAAATGCATCTATATGTACCTTTTACTTATATTTGATTTCAGATTTATCATTGAACCAGAATAATAAGCGAGCAAAGTTCTGATTTTGGCAACAGGAAAAAAGTTAATATGAAAGAGTTATATATATATATATATGTATATATATATATGTATATATGTATATATATATATATATGTATATATGTATATGTATATATGTATATATATATATATATGTATATATGTATATGTATATATGTATATATGTATATATATATATGTATATGTATATATACATATATATATATACATATATACATATATGTATATATGTATATATATATATATAATCAAAAGAAACTACTTTAGAAGGGAAACCAACAAATTTTTATTGATGATTGGGTATATGCACCACATTATATTCTTATACAGAATCAAGCTTTCCATTAAACAATGCTGTGTGTTAAGGACTATAATCTAGGAGATATGTTGTGAATTAATTGTGTTTCATCTGATGAATAATTGTAAATCCATCACTCAATTGGAATAATTTTTCAATATACCTCTTTAGTCACAATTTGATAGTCATGATATCATATGGTAATATATTGTGAGATATGAACATATGAACTTTTACAGTCATGATATCATAAGGTTTAGAAATGCAATATATTGTGAGATATGAACATATGAACTTTTGTAGTCATGATATCGTAAGGTTTAGAAACGTAACATAATGTGAGATATGAACTTACGAAGTGAACTTTGCCAAAGAGTTCATCTCTTTTCATTATACTTTTTTTCATCTCAGCATGATTTTGCATGTTAGTAATTTTTTATGGAGTGCATGATAGGCCCAGCACTGGGCAAAGGAAAAGATGATACAACTCTGAAATGTCTTATGGTTTGCATTTCAGATGGTCATGCCAATATGGCCTATTTCACTTTTAGAGTTAGTTACTCATCTGTAGATGATTATAAAGATTTTCTGATTCTCTGTAATAATAGGTTACTTTTTTTGTTTCACGTAGAATTTGGCTCTCAGCACTTGTAGCAAAGTGAGCATTAATTGGTTATACACTTACCTTAGCTTGGATATGTCTCAGACAATGAATTTGGATTTTGGACAAATTTTTTACATCGACAATAAAATAAAAATCTACTGGAGGAATACTAAAAAAACAGAATTGATTTTTTCTCACTCAATAAAACCTAACCCTAGACTTAAACAGATTCAACTGACATAATACACGACTCACCATAGATGACCATGAGTTATCCTACATCACAGGACCAATATTCGATTAGGTGATTAGAATTAGAGCAGGTTAGTCGAATCAGATTGTCAAATTAAGATTAGGCTGGACTGCCCAGCATCAACTGGAATTAGCTCAAGATTAGCCAGATGTATCCTAGCCTACACCAATGAGTTTAAGCCATTCTCAACTGATCTAGACGAACCCTTGTGCTGTGATCACTCTATCCCAAAAATTACGGGATCTGGGGCCGGCTTGGAAGTGGATTGTTGAAGGCAATTGATTGATTTAGGGAAAGGATCAGAGATAGAAAAACCCTGTTTCATTCGAGCGAAATGCAATGTTTTCTTTGTCTTTCGTGGTTGAATGTTGATTAGCAATGTTTTGTATGCATCATTTAGATTTCTTGGAAAATGACTTTTTAAAGTCCACACATACTTCATTCCATGATTAAGCCCTAGACCTTGTATAACTTGGATCACTAATTGTCTCAATGTAATCATAATCTCTATAAGATGTAAATATAAATTACTATTTAAACATACCGTGATTCTAACAAAAATTTGGTAACCTAATATTGTCAATTAAATCTTAGTATGTTCTCATGGATGCTACTAATTTCTCTTAATCTTCAAGAAAGCTGGAAAATCAGTAATGAATTGATTGAGAGTTCAAGATTTAGTCTATACAATAATTACTAAATCTTAGAAGCATGGTTCATAAAACTGTGTAAGTTGGTTTGGGGTCGTTTTTACTGGTCCGAGTCATGGCCAGTACATGGACTGGGCAGTTTCTCCTGGTCCAGTACGAAATAGGGTCTGCCAACTAGTGTACTTTTCATACCGAGTGGTCCCATTAAAATTTGATTGGTATAAATGTTGGTGTATTAGGGGTGAACTTATCATCTAGTACATGTCCCTGGGGCACAGCTGTCTCTCTCTTCTTTTTTCTCCATTCTTTCTCTTGCATGTTCCCTCTCTATCTCTCTCAATCGTCTCTTGTGTGATCTCTCTTCTGTACTCACCAAGTCGTTGTGGTTGCCTTCTCTTCCTTGTGTCACCATCACCTTCTCCTTATCTCATTGCGTCACTGCCACCACCTCCTTCTGGGGTGCATGGCTTACCCATCAGTAGAAAATAAGGAGAAAAATTATGAAACTCAATTTAGAAGCCGAAATTACAAACCTGGTAGCTATGATCAGAATTCAGGGCTTACATCTCTCAGATCAAAACAGAAACTTCCACTACCTGAACCATTCATCTGAACTGGCAATCTGATGATCATATGTGATGATTCCAGAGCCCTTTACTCTCCAGGAAAAGTTTGTCCATCTAATTATAATTCGGATATATTTAAAATGTGCTTTTCCATTGTCTATCTAGGTGCTTGCTTTATTGGGTAGCTTTTGCTGAAGTTCTTTGCACTTGTGTTTTCTCATGCAGATTGAACAACCTATTATATTCCTGTCCGGCTTGCAAGATGAGTTGGTTCCCCCTTCACACATGCAGATGCTGTATGCTAAAGCTATAGAAAATAACAGGGACTGCAGATTTGTGGATTTTCCAAACGGCACACATATGGATACATGGTTCAACGGTGGTGAACGATACTGGAGAACAATCCAGTTGTTCCTGGATCAGTATATTCCGGAGATTAAGGAGTGCAACGTGAACTGTGAAGTTGATGATAAGGGTAATCCATCTGATTAGATTTTATTTCCATAGCTATGGAATGCCACTTTGCTCCTAATTCTCTGCATTCATCTGGAGTTGAGTCAGCTGACAACTTTGAAGTTTTTAAGTATCATGTGGATAGTACTTCACTTCAGTGGATATCATGTGTGTGTGTGATGGTTGATTCATAGTGAGGCATGGGTTTAACTTTTGCTGTGAATATATATTAAATTAATGATCTGACAACTATACTGGAAGCTCTGTTGCTATCTTTAGTGCCTATGTAATAAGCAGTAAAGGCGAATGGTAGGTAAAGTGTTTAGTGTGGGTTATTCCATACACACAATAACTTAATGGCAATAGTGATGGTTCTGTATATTTTTGTTTTGGTAGCACTAGATTTTGTCTTAAAAGTTGTTCTATACTCTTTTTATCATTCGTGACATATCATTCCATGTTCTTGTAGATGAGGCAGCAGGATGATCGATTGATTACATTCTGTAGCAAAAAGAGCATGCAAATAATGTCTCAGATGCTCCAGCAATTATCTTTTAATGGGACCCTCAATCTGTCTCTTTATGCAGTTCATCAAGGGGATTTAGCTAGTTTTTTGTGCACTGCTGCCCAGAAGATGCCGAAGTTGTGACTCCAAATGATCCTCTCCTGCATAAATACTGACACTTTGTTTATATGAAATAAGGTTGAAATGTTGATTTCCGCTGAGGCGAACATCATACTCTGTATTTTTGAACTCAAATCACTAGATAGTCCAAAGATTTGCTCAATTGTTCTTGTCTTTCTTATTAATGTATTTTTGGACTCAAACATACAGATTTTCTAATCGGAAGAAGAAGATTGTTTGCTGTTGCTTCTATGTCTTGTCGTATGATTTCTTTATTCTCCGGTCACTTTTTTCCCGTGCTTGTTGCGTATACATAAATCACTATCTCTAGGACTTTCTAATGAAGTAAACAAGATTTGTTTTGTTCATAATTCTTGATGGATTACCTTACGAACTGGGAAAGTGGAAGAAGAGGTCAAAATGTCGACTGTTGGTTATAGCCTTGATTAGGCAAGGTTTCATTGTCATTTAATTGCCATACTTGTTGCTTAAAGAGTTAGGATTTGATTCACAGAGCAAGAGTTAGTTATTAAATAGCTGTTTATAATTTGTTAGATCTGTTTTTTTTTTCTTATTTTTCTCCCTCTTTAATATAATATTATTATATGTTCGTCTTAAAATTCTCATTTATTTTTAAATTTAATATAAACAATGGATGATAAATATAATCATAAAAAATTAAAAATTATATCAACTAATTTATATATGTTACCACAAGATATAATTAACATATTAAGTTAACTATCCTATTGCTGTATAATTAATTCATTGCTTCCAGTGATGATTAGAGGCTAAAAGTTGATCCTCATCGGCTAATCAAAGCAGATAAATTTCGTTAAAGAAGAAGCAATGAAAAATTAAAATAAAAGACCCATAATAATGAGATAGTCCACAAAATAATAATAATAATAATAATAATAATAATACGTGTCAGACATCGCCAGACCAGCGTTCGACCGTGATTGATATCTAAACCCTCGGTTTGGATCTACGGATCTGCCTCTCTCTCTCTCTCTCTCTCTCGCTCGGAGGGTCTATCGAATCACAGAAAACGCCTTTTATTTCTTTGGATTTTGGGTGTTTTCCTGCTCGATCCGTGAGACGAAGCGCCGCGAAGCAATTCTATAGTTCTATTCCCGAATACTTCCTTCTAGCTCGCTGCGCTGTGGGAAGAGGGTCGGAGGAATGGACGGAGGATCGGCGGGCCACTACAACCCCCGGACGGTGGAGGAGGTGTTCCGCGACTTCAAGGGTCGGAGGGCCGCCATGATCAAGGCCCTCACCACCGGTCAGCACAAAGTTCCTCTCTCTCTCTCTCGATACGTATTTTCGTGCATCAAAATGTTGCCTCTTTCTTCTTTCTTGTCCATCAGAAAGATCTTGTTTTTTTCTCTTCCTGTCGACCAACTTAAGGGTTCTCGGGGTTTCTTTTTTGTAGATGTGGAGGATTTCTACCAGCAGTGCGACCCCGGTGAGAAGCTCCGCTACCCTCTCTCTCTCTCTGTTCGTTGCTTGGTAGTTCTGGTAGTGGAAGATTTTTAGGGCTATTTTTTATTCCAAACATTTAATATCTGTAGGTATTTGTTTCTTGTGTTGATTCTGCGGTACTCGCTCTAAGAAAGAAAGAAACCCTCCATGCTTCAATTTTAATATTATAAATAGATAGGGGAGGATGAATTTGGTATCGTGACACAAATCAACTCTTCAGTGACAGTTGTTGAAATCCGCTACGTGAGCGATCATCGAACCTAGCGATCAGAGCTGAGATGAACATGTCCTTTATTCCTCGACTTAGAGAGGAAGTCCATACAACCTCATTTTTTCAAACTGTTATTGAGTTCCTGACTTGTGTCATCATGTCGTTTTCACAAACCAACTTGCTAGTTTATTCGTTGTTTGATTGATTTAAAATTCCAGCATGCAACATAGTAGCCCTAACTTTTTTGTAAGGGAAAACTTGGTTCACCTACTTCTCACATCTGAGGACAAAGTCAGGGCTGTAGGCCTCTCTTTTCCTTGTGAGTTATTCTTCCCTTCTAATTTTCTTTTGCCAGTGTTGCACAGATATAGATTGTTGAATTGTGTTTGAATTCACAATTTATTGCCTGACTGATGAAAGAAACAGAGAAAGGACTCAAGGTAAGACAAATAGTTTTGAATTGTTGTTAGAAGTTTTGACTAGTCAGTTTAAATACCAAGCCCGAGAAACTCTAGAATGGCTTGGTTTAAGTATTGGTCAGTTCATTTTGAAACCAATCCAAAATGCTTACCATACCAAGCCCGAGAACTAGAAGGGGTACATAAACTTCTCCGTTGTACACTTTCTTGTTTACATAGTGACTCTACTTACTCCAGCTTTCACCTCAATATCTGATGAGTAGTCCATTTCTCATCATATCTTTATTTGCATATGCAGATGACTTTAGACCTTAGCCAGAAAAAAAATAAATTTTTATGGTTGTGCTTCTTAACTATATGACCCTCTTTGCAGAAAAAGAAAATTTATGCCTTTATGGATTTCCGAATGAGCGCTGGGAAGTTAACCTGCCAGCAGAAGAGGTGCCCCCAGAACTTCCTGAACCTGCTTTAGGCATTAACTTTGCAAGAGATGGAATGCAAGAAAAGGACTGGCTATCCTTGGTTGCAGTACACAGTGATGCTTGGATACTTTCTGTTGCATTTTATTTTGGTGCTAGATTTGGATTTGACAAAGTTGAAAGGTGATTAATTAATCAGACTGTTTGGAGAGATATAATGAATTTTTTTTATAGTTTCAAATTTAATTGCTTCTTTATATGTGTACCTTGATGCCAGGATGTCTGATGGATTTCTAGTTTTGTTGCTCATATGTATACTCTGTTCAATGCTTCTTTATATGTCTACCATTGTATAACGTTAACCAACAGTTTAGTAATAATATACCTGCTGCATCAACAGTTTAAGTGCTTAGTTTCATTCATAATTTTCACTCCAAGTATATATTTTGACATGCAAGGTTAGCATCGAAAATGCCAAGAGAAGTTTCATGCTTGTCTTGTGTAGTTTGTATTAGTGGAATCTGCAATGAAAATCCAATGAATTTTTGTAGATGTCTGGAAATGTCGGATGGAGTGAGACTGATATCAAGGTGTTTTATATTGTAAAATAGTCTGCACAGTTTATTGTGTTCTCTTATTCAGATAGAAAACTGCAAACATGCAAGATTCCAGTAAAAATACATATTCAGTGCACTGATTATTATCCTAAATTGCTTTTTGATTAGGGCATACTAGGAGGCAAATGGAGTCATTGTTGGAGAGTTTGTTTGTAGGTGATAGTGAAAACTTAAATTATTCAACTGAGGGCTTCATTAGGATGAAGAGCCTTTAAGATACATGATTGCTAAGCGAGAATTTTATATTTGACATATGTCTGACGAATCTTTAGCATCATGATATATGAGACATTACTTGTTTGGAATGAAAATGCAGCCAAGGTGTTGAACCCCAGTGGATGGTTGTTTTAAACTGAGCATCACATGTAGAAGATGCACAATAAAGTGCAATCATGTGTTGGCAATGTGTGCTTTCTACATGGTGAATATATGCATATCAAAGAAGGTAGAAAATAGGCTTACTGGTCCAACATGGAACCAACCATGTATGCACCATATGAATGCCACAATATTTCAGCATTAGCAGTTACAAATGATAATTTCCTGTGTCCACTTTGTCTTCAGGCAAAGCATTACATTTAAATGCTAGATATGAAATACTAGATCAATTATTAATTGAAAGTTTTGTTGCCTGGATCAAAGGCATAATCTGATACTCAGCTACACCCTTTCCCTTCCAATTGTTTGCTAGTTCGATCTGAAACACCCAGTAGTAATCAGCCCATAACACAGTTTTTAGAATCATGAATATAATAGCATGAATCACATATAAGAAAAAAACGAGGAATTCCATAATATGCATATATCTTCTTTGAATCTGGGCAAAATTATCTAATGTGTACCACAAACATGAATCATTTTAGAAACTGAAAATAATTTCCAATGGGATTTACCAAGTACAACTTATAAATGCTTCAGCCTGTACCTCATGTTTTTTATGATTTTTCATATATTCACTGTTTTTGTTCTGATATTCCTCAAATTACTATATCTTGGATGCTAACTTTCTATTTAGTGGCATTTCAAGTAAATATATTTTAATTTATAACACAGGAAGCGCCTCTTTGGTATGATTAATGATCTGCCGACCATTTTTGAAGTTGTTAATGGCAAGAACAAGGTCAGGACAAGTGAAACCAACCATAGCAACAACAAATCCAAGTCAAACACTAAAGTGGTTAGTGCACTCTTTAATCTGTTTGTTATAATTGATTTGATCTCCTTGCCTGTATTACTCATCTTCTCTTCAAGTACGCTCAAGGGGAAACTTTGACAAACCTTTCAAAATATATAAAATTTCACATATGCCTTTCTAAAGTTTGTTAACGTAGAGGATATCTACGAAATTATAGGTGAGCGGAAAGGCACCTATGAAAGTCTGCCTAAAACCCGACAACTCCAACAGATGTAGTTCAGTTCTGGTTTTGTTGATTGTATTAGGCTTCTTATTTTGTATAATGTTGGTGCAGCGGGTGTCAGACTCCCACCCAAAGTATTTAAAGGGACAACCAAAAGAAGAGGACGATGAACTAGACGAGGACGACGAAGAGGAGCATGGAGACACGCTGTGCGGGGCATGCGGGGACAATTATGCATCAGATGAATTTTGGATTTGCTGTGATATCTGCGAGACATGGTTTCATGGCAAGTGTGTGAAAATTACCCCAGCTAGAGCTGAGCACATCAAGCAGTACAAGTGCCCATCATGCAGCAACAAGCGACCACGCCCATCCTGAAAGCTTTACCGCCTATCATTTTGGTGGTCCCTGTTATGCACACCATGTCTATATTCCTCCAACTTACAAGTATGTTCCTTGCATCTGTATGTGACGAATGCAAGTATCCTTTTGTTTAGCGCATCGACATTGGTTCATCATGCAAATTTGGCTGACTGTAGAATTACCACGACCTTGATGTTCCAAACCGAAACTAGGGTAGAAACTGTCCGACATCGGTACTCTTTTAATTAATGCTGGCCTTTGTATATCTTGAAAAGTTACGGTGAGTACTTTGGTCTCCCATGATGTGAATGGTATTACTTACAGTTCTATCATGTTCTTCGGGTAACTCACTGTCATCCATATAACTTGTAATGCGGATTTAAACTACTGACATGGATTAAGCAATGGTTAGCCTGTGTGCTTGTACATTCTTTTCTTAGTACAAGATGAATACATTTTCATAATTGCTTTGAATACTGACTACATACCATTACAGCTGCTTGATTCTGTTCATGGTGCAAGCATCATAGCAAGTAAAAGCGTGTTGAGACCCATATATAATCCACTGATAGATCCATGCATTCCAAAACATTGTCCTAACATCTCTAGAAACATTTCTAGCTGTAAAATTCGTCTGTAGTTATGCACAATACACTAATCTCTACACAAATTCAGGGATGAAGTTGTTCCTATTTATGGTGGAAGGCCTGCACATATTCTGGCTCTTTGAGCCACAAGTCTCTCGATCCTAGCTTCAACTTCTGTAGCTCCTTCTGCAGTTCCAGACCGCAGCTCCCTCTGCAAATTTGAGATGGTCCTGTCTATGCTCTTAATCTGTTCTATTTCATCAAACAAAAGACCCTTGTCATGAGTTCAACACAAGTCTCTGATCCATCGCAGAGATACAAGTGCAAGGAAAGCAGAACGAGACCTTGCGATACGGCCACCGAAGCATCCCATGCTTGCGGCACACTTTCTTGAGGGCTGTGGGGCATATTTGCAGCTCCTTAGCAGCCTCCGTTATGGGAAGATGCACGTAATTAGCCACATCCTTGAGGTGCAGCCTCCTGGTCCTCTCCCTCTGATCCATCATAAACACACTGAAGTTTAAAGATCCCCGGAAAGAGGCAGATGTAATGCTTGACGTTAGTGATGACTACTCTTGATAAAGACAAATATATGTTCGTCTGCATGTACCTGTGTGGCGATTCCTGCTTTCGACTTTCCTACTTCACCGGTGCAGTGCAGTTCACTTGGCCTGGATTGACATAACCCTACCATCAAGTGAGGGAATGAAGACAGACTTGTGATAGCCAAGAAAATAAAACGAAATGTGATGCGAAAAATCTCAGTGATGCCTTCTCACATAACACGACAGGGTATTTGCTGAAATGTCAAACCTCACCTGGTTCTGGCACAACTTTCTCCTCCTCGTAGCTCATGGGTACGCACAGGGCATCGTAAAAGGCGGACAGCGAGTCCTGCATCATCACGTATCGCTCACGCACTCGTAGCAGGCCGTAGTCGAGGAAGAACTGCTTCACCCATTCCAGGTTTTGACCACTTAAACTGTCCTCCGTCCAACAGTTGAAATCAATCAGTATCTTCCGTCGCGGTATATTTGTGCAGATATAGTAAGAAAGCTTTGACGAGAGGAATAACTGATAACATACGAACGAAGATTCTTACTCGATGTAGGACTGCTCCATCGCTGGCACGAACCCATCGACGTTGTAATACACGTCGAGGATCGCATGGTAGAAGACGCCAAGCCCTCCATGCAGCGCAAGCTTCATGTTCTTTTGACCTGCACGACAACACAATCGCATGCCCTTTCTGAGAAAACATAGTAGTCATGGCGAATCAGTAACAACAACAGTATTCTGCCATTTCTTGACAGTCAGCAAGAAATTGACGAAGAGCATTAGCGATCGATTGATGCTCTAATGTACCATCGCTGTGAATCACTTCTCGCAACACATGGCAGCAACTGCAATCCAAGCCTGTCGCAGGAGCCCACGCGGGAGACACCGCCATCAGCTCACCCGTCTTCCCCGCTGGCGGTCCCGACCCGCCGCCGCCGCAGTAGTCGTTGTCCGCCACCAGTTGTTCCACTCTGGTCGTCGCATCGTCGTTGTTGATTTCCCACAGCAAAGTGCTGTCCACGGCGTCCAGCAAAGCCATGTCGAACTCGTCGTTCGGCGACGGCGGCGACGACGGCGGGGGGAGGGCCGGCGGCCCAGCGTAATCGGATTCGGAGAACTCGAGGTACTCGAGGACGTCGACGTCGTCCTCGTGGTGAGGGCTGAAGCGACCCATGATGCGTTGCAACAGACAGTGGCGGCGCGCCAAGAGTGCCCACCCTGTCTTGGGAACAGGGCGAGCGGGTTGCGGGAGAGTGACGCAGATGAGAAGCCACGGTTTAAGTTATGGAGAGGATTGAGAAGAAGAAGAAGAAGAAGAAGAGAGCGAGAGAGAGAGAGAGAGGAAGAAATATAAACGTATCGTTCGTTGTCTGGCGGGAAGATTAAACGGTTACGTGGCAGTTTCTGACCGTTGAGTCGCGACGTTTGAACCGGACGCCATTTATGCTCATGAAGAGAGGCCATGGCGGAGACTTCCCAGGCAGCGCGCCACCCAAGGAGAGGGAGGCGGCTGTCGCTGGATCTCAGCGTCGACGCAGTTTCGCTCGCCGGGCTCTGCTGTCTCTTTCACCAGCAACGCCGCCACCGGCTCCTTTGTCCTCATCCCGCCGTCGATCGCTTTCTCGCTCTCTGGACTATTTGACGGTGGATGGATCAGTAGCCTCCAAATCCAACGGCTCTGGTGCGACAGAACGCTAGAACAGGGCACCCTCAGTTGCGTGATGATAGATTAGAACACGGATTTGTATATAAATAATTATTATGTAAATAATTATTAATACTATATTATATGTATAAGCAAAATATTATATGAGTGATATCTATACATTTACGATTTCAGAATTGTTTTATATTTTCTAATCCGAAAAAAATATGCATTCTGGAAAAAGCTGGTTATGGCTGTTTCTACCGCATACCGGACGGTGAGCCGACTCGAAGGCTTATCCGTCTCATATCACACATCAAAACCTCACAAAATAAAAATGATTTCTTTAATCAGAAAAAGAAAAGACCATAAATTTATCGGAGAATTCAAAATATTATACGCCCCGACCTCTGTTGTCCGCTCTCATGGCGACCGTCGGGTTCCGGTCGCCTCCCGCGCCGCTCTGCACCCGCCGGTCCTTCTCCTCCTCCCGAGTGTCGCCGGCGAGGCATCTCGCCTTCCGCGTCCGGAGCTCCGCCGTGGAGGAGAGTACCTCCTCACCGCCTCCGACCGACACCCCCGTCGAAAGCCAAAAGCTGTCCGCGTCGCTCATCTCGGCCGCCAACGTACAGAAGGCGCTTCGAGGCATCGGTTGGTGTCCTCAAAATGCAATCTTTGTGTATTCTCCTGTTTCGTTCAATTTGTTATTTGGAATGGTATTGAAATGGGCCTAATTCTGTGTTTTTCCCGCTTTATTGCGAATAAATTGACAGCAATTACTGATGCTGATCATTACGGGAGGCTTGGAATCCCCAGAGAGACACCCTATGACCAGGTCAGGGCACGTTTTCCTTCTTTTTTCGCTTTGTAATCATTAATCTTATTCCACTGGTCAGAATGTTATGACCATGATTCCATTGTTGCACTAGAAGTTTAAGATGAACAAAGTTTTTCTGGATTCAATTGGGTTCATTTTCGCTCTAATATTTCATGGGCAGTTGTGATGGAAACATTCAATTTGGATCTCAGAATGACTTTAGAATATCTTTTCCCTTCTGCTTTCTCCTGGCTGATATTCTTCAGTACCATCTAACATACAGAATCTTCTATACCAGGTTAAGGTTGCCTATGAAAAGAAGTGTGAGGAACTGATGAGCAAAGGCTTGGATGAAGAGGGAACCAGCAAAGAGTTAGAACTTCTGAAGGTTTGCGGCTTTTACCATACACTGATCTGAAGCTACTAGACTTCAATTGTTAAATGTCTGGTTAAAATAAATGACAGTAGCTTTTTCTCAAGGTTTCTTTCGAATTTGACTGCTGTACAGGAATCATATGTCGTCCTTTCATCTGAAGAAGAAAGGAGATTGTATGATTGGAGTTTGGCCAGGAGTGAGAAACCAGATAGATATGTCTGGCCTTTCGAGGTCGACATAACACAAACTCCAACAGAACCTCCTCCACCACAGGTATGCATCATTCAGTTTTGGTCACGCCTTAATCAGGTTGATGATAGATAAAAGTTTCTGTATGTTATACAACCAGTGAGGATTTTTCTGTCATACTATTAGGAGGCTGGTCTACAAGATTTATGTTCCTAACAATGACAACAAGTAGCTGTAATATATCTTAGCTAACAAGAGCCATAAGAATGGCCAAATATCTATCTATTGTTTTCTAGATGAAGCTTTCTTAGATCTCTATTTGCTTTTTGTCGTGCTACTATTAAAGTCAGATCCTCAAAAACTTTTTCATTTTATCTGTTGTCAGAATATTAATTCATGTAGTATCTTAAAATCAAAATAGACTAGGTCTGTTTTAGGAGTTGATACTTAGCCTTAACAATAAAATGTGGATGATGGCATGTGATATCATGATTTATAGAGCTAAATTGTGGATAAGATGGATTTTAACAATATCATATGATTGGGACTATGAGAAGTCGGGGAAGGTTTTTACAGTTTAATGTCCTATTGAACCTTCTGTTTAGGCTAGAAGCCTAGAACTTTGGTGGTGTAGATATGAAAGAGTTATGAAATTTTTTGATATGCAGAACTTGTTTCTGTTGTTTTTTAGTTGTTATCTCGTATCTGAGTTCATCACATATTAAAACTGAAAACTAAAGTCGAATAACAAAATATTGGGACCATCTGCTGGTTGTGGGACTTGTCTGTCAGAGTTTCTGTAAGCCATTGTACATTCCATGAATTTAAAGCACTATTGGAACTTGCTATGCTGCAGCGACAATACTAACAGCTAGGATCATATGTCATTTTTTTCTGAATCCACTAGATTCTTTGCAATCTGAACATCTATATATCACATTTTTTCTGTTTTTTCATGGAATTCTTGCCTGCCTCCTAAAAGTCTGTCATGCACATTTTAGCCATCAGAAACACCGTTATAAAGCCAGATTGTTCTTGTAAAAGAATAAAAAAATTCAAAACAGGTGCTGATGCAGTATTTCTTTAAGGAGTAAATATGTTAGGAATTTGAATAGATTTGTTAAGCTTTCTTGTCACAAAGGCAACTCCTGCCTTAAGGGGTAGCTATTCTAATTTCATCTTCACACTACATTAGTTAAAATATGCAGTAGGCCTGCAACTTCTATAGCAATTTCACCTATGGAAATTAAGCTGCAATTCTTTGCTATTGAGTCCTACTTTTAAGTTCTTTCTAATAAATTCGACCTTTATGCAAGTAGATCATCCTTTTTTTGGAAGTTTCATAAGTTTATATGTGATCTTGTGGTTCAGGAACCTGAAGACGTAGGACCTACACGGCTTGTTGGATATTTTTTTCTTGCATGGTTGATACTGTCTTTTGCTTTATCTGTAACCCTCAACAGATGAGAGAAATCTTCTGGTATTGTATTTAAACATAAAATTAAAAATTATTTCAAGTTTAAGCATCTGTTAATAGTGTGAAATTTCTCTCTCAGTATTGTTGTTCACCTCGCTGTCCTTTAGGCATGGAATTTGTATTTTAAGCAGCTTTCTCCTTTGTATGGAGCAGCAAGTCCAGAGTTGATTGGATTATGTTCTTGATGGTTTTGTCTTTGTTCTTGCTATTTGAACAATTTGGTATTTGCATGCATTCATACAATTCTTAAGGCAATCTGAACTTATAATACTATCGAACATGAACTTAAAAGCTTCTGTTTTATTGGATTTACTACCAGTATCTTATTGGATGAAGTGGATTTATCACCATTAATTTTTTTGAGTTCACATATTCATGTGGTTTTAGGCATCAGTAGTTCCATCTGATCGGATCATGTCGATATGATCAGGAGCCTTAAGTCTTCATTTAACTATGACATTTTGCAAATTATCTCCTTTTGTAAATTTTGATCGCATCAAAGAAGTGGCTGGTGGGTGTTAAAATCTCTCTTTGCAGATGCTTCTTGTTCTCATTCCTCAAGAACAGTGAGGAAACAGACTGCATTGTTGGTTCAAATATGTTATTGGCTAGGTGCCTTGAAATTATAATCTTAATCCCCATGCACGCTTTGCAATCATGCAAGTGCATGGACCTGATGAGCTACAACAGGCAGAGTTCACTCCAAGAACTTCTTGAGGGCAAAGCAGGACAAGAAATGGCACTAACTTAGAGCTGATAATGTGGAACAAACAGCAGAAGATTATTTTCAAAGAGTCTAAAATTGTTCACTTATCATTTTTATTTATTCCACATTGTTAATTTTTATATTTCTTTCAATTATCCCATATTGCTAGCTAGTTAATTTTCAAGGCCTAGAACTATTATAAATGAAGGTCTTCTCTAAATCAATGGAATCATCAAAAAATAATATCTTTAAATATTGTAAAAATTTTCGGAGTAGATTTTCCTCATCCTCCCTTATCAGGTCAGTTTATTATAATCTTTTCTAGTAGTATTTTTTTAATTTTGTTTTTGCTCTATGTCAGCTAACTCCAATGGAATGTTTTGCTTAAATTCATCCTATAATCTGGTGAGCAACCTTTTGGTGAATGTGGAATGTCAGATTTTAGGAATAGATCCATTGTGCACAGTGCAAGGCCATCTTTTAGATCATCTTCTTCCTTGAAGAAGTGTGATTTGCTTCTCTAGATTGCTTTCTCTGTATAGTTTCTACAGTTCATATTCTATCATCAGTAATTGCTTACTCAAGTTGCTAATCTGTGATAACATGCATATACGAGATCTCACAACTGGATTGGAACTGTGTGAGGCTAGAAAGTGAGATTAATTCTCCGAGAATGTCATAATCAATTTTGATGGATGACTAGATGTAACATGCGAGTCAAATCTTTAACATACAGAAATGTTTGCTGTGTTCCAGTCTGTCATTCAACTTTTTCAGCTTGAAATCCGGCGCATGTCCACTGATACTAGTTTTCCTGATGTATCATCTTTGGGTCTGACTTGTTGGTGTGAAGTATCATCATGGGATATTGTCAGATATCAATGTCAAATGTTCATAATGCTTGCCTCAGCTGCCTTTCACATTAGTAGTTGCCAATACATGATATCTTGGATCAGGTATCACAATATCTCATCTAGCAGATTTTTCTTGTCATGTTTTTTGGAGTGATGATTTCCTTGTCAGATTTACTGTCCTCCAGCAATGGTTGAGGGAATGGAATGATGTTCTTTCCATTTCTTTGCATGTTTATTTAAATTTGACATGTCAAGAACTTTTCAGATTCAATTGGCTGGAAATAGGTTTGTGTTTAAAGATCAGTCCAGATGTGACAAATGGTTCATATGCAGTAACCTTGTGTCTCAAAGAAGGAAAAATGTGAGTAATTATATCTTTACAAAGGAATTTTGTTTGTAAACATGATTTGCTACATTTTATCATTTTATTTTCTTAACAAAAGACTGCTTTATTTTCTATTGCTTATATAGTGGAACAGAGGCTTGAAATGAGCCCCCTTTTTTTTTTTGTGTGGCACAATTTAGCTGCATTTTCTTCTTAAGAAATAAAGCAGAATCAGTTATGTATGGCCAAAATGTTAAGGTTGTAGCTGTGGCAAGAGTGCCTTGCAGAACTCATAGTACAATGTTGAGCAATTGCCTTGGTATTTTCTGCACCAAGAATCCATTTTTTTCTGGATATCTTCTTTCCTTTGGGGGGCGGCTCGAAATCTATAGTCTGAAAAGAGGGTCAGAGGAAAAGATCTGTTCATTGCATGAACATCACTGTACACTTGGAACTGGGAGTTAGAGAGGCATTTATGGACCAAAGCCATGACACTGGATCCTACAGAGGGCAATCCCCCTGTCCTGTGCATGTGATTGAGCATGTTCTATATTGTGTGTGTTTCCACATCATGTGCAGCTTCCAAGGTTCTTGCAGATCCACAAGAAAACACTGGAGACATTATGTCTCAATTCCCAAAGATCTCTGGTGCCTTGTGATGGCAACCCATGTCCATGAGTATTTATGTTCATCATCATCTGGTAATTGTACAAAAATCCATCAGATATTGTAAATTTAGTGACTACCTTCAGATATTTTGCTCTCTCCAACACCACCACCACCATTGTAGTTTATTCTAGACATGTCTGTGCCAAGTTGAAGCAGTCTCCTTCAACTAAACATTGTGGACACTTTGTTTGGTTGTTCATACTGTTCCACATGGATTCATATCCTTTGCAGGTTCTTCCACATGAAGCTGTCTCTAGCAAAAAGCTCACAAAACAATCGAGTTTACCTTACTTGTATGGAGTAGTAGGCTGAGGGACCTATCATCTGTTGTGTTGCCACTACTTAGTGAAGCCATGATATGATCAGCCAAAGTAATCTGGGTCTCAAGTAAAATGGAGGCAGGAGGCAATCCTCTCAAGCTCAGAAGCTTCTGCTAGCTTCAGGATGAGAAAAGAAAAAGAAATCATGATCAATCAATGAGCTGAGCGAGGAAGGTAAAAATGAGCTGAGTGCAGAATCACATCTTTCTAGGTAAGTAAAGCATATGTACAAACTCATGAGCTCGACCAAGTTTGAAGATGGATTGAGAGATTAAAGAACCCAAAACAACATCTCTTTCATTCATCAACACAAAAACATCAGCAAGAAAAGGGAAAGAAGGAGATGATAGATCGTAGACGATCAATTAACAGAGGCAAATCTAGCGCATCAAACAGGGATAACCCTGTGATGAAGGGCACTGAGACTTCGGTTAGTCCTTTGGTCTTCGGAAGTCAACCATCTGCATCATAATACCATTGGAAAATGAGAAGATAGCGTTTTGATGGGGGTGAGAAACAACGCAGATGAGGCATTGAGAACTGCACCATTGTAACGCTGAGAGGCAGCCACCGGCTTGTCGTGGTTTGCCATGGGAATGGAGATAGAGAGCTGCATCTTCAAGTCCGCATCCATGCTCATCCAAGAGTCTTCCATCTTCTGCGGCTTCTCATCAAGGAAACAGTGGAATGGCCTTGCATTCTGTGGTTGCTCCGCCCGCTCCAACTTGGCAGACTTGTCCGTCTTCAGATCAGCACCCAACACAAAGTAGTGCTTCTCCTTGTCTTGCTCCTCGGACAAACAGATTCTGGAGTGGGGATGAGCGCCTTGCATGTAGCCAAAACTCTGCTTTGTCTCCTCAACGGAGCTCATGTCCATTGACCCCAACCTGCATGGCATCTCCCTTCCGGCCCTGCAGGCTTCTGAGAGGAAAGGGTACTCATTCACACCCTCCTTGAATCCAAGGATGTTCCTGCTCTTCAGACAGTTCATTAAGCTTTACAACCAAACCCAGAGAAAGAGAGAGAAAGAAGATCGACGGCGGCCATGCATACCTGTAATTATCAACCGTGTAGGGGGAAGAGTCTAAACAGAAGCTGGCAGAGTCATCTTTGAGTGAGAATCCCATGGCAGGAGGCCTCGAAGAGGAGGGACAGGGAAGCAGGAAATGGTGGGTCTGAGGTGTTGACAGCGAGAGAGGAGGAGGAGGAGGAGGAGGAGGAGCCGCAGCAGCAGCAGCAGCAGCAGCAGCAACGAAGTTTGATGAAGAGAACTGTGAGGAGGTTGGGTTGGTGGCCAAAGACAATTCCACAGGCTTTCTTGAACGGCTCTTCCCCCTGTGCATGTGCCTCTCACAGTACTTGGAGTCTGGGTAGGCCTCCTTGGAGCACCTCCACTTCTTCCCATCTGTTCTCCTGCACCTCCCAGGCTCCGGATCCACTGGTTTCCTTCCATCACCCAGCTGGTAAGCTCCCCATCCAACTGCACGCGACACACCAACCTTGTCTCACGAAACACGCAGAGTCCACAAGTGGAGGTTTTGAGCGCAGAAGACTTACTCGTGGGAGGATTGGGAATGAATGGAAGAGCTTGAGGATCCATGAAGAGACTCCTCCTGATGCAGAGGATGAGATCAGAAGGTACGGGGATACCTGAGACCATGTACTTGAAGACAAGGGCTTGAAGCTCCAGCTCTTGCCATTGGGATGCTGTGAAGGGATACCTACTGCCCCCTCCCATCATCATCCTACTCTCACTGCTCTGTTTCAGACCCACAGCTGCAAGTCCAAAACCCAAACCCCACAACACCAACAAGGAGAAGCGAGCGAAGGAAGGAAGGAAGGAAGGAAGGAAGGAAGCTAGTGGATAGATAGTGGAAGAGGCAAAAGCAGCAGCAAAGCATTAGAGAGAGTGACAGGCAGCAGAAGCGGCAGCGGCAGTAGCATCTTGTTAACTTCCTGCAATAATAATAAATCGACTTTTGTCTTTTTATGTGACTGCAATAAAGAAGGGGTTATTTTGTTTGCATAGGAAGTGTCATTCAGTCAAGGGAGGGCAGAGAGGAATCATAAGACTGGTGGGGGGTGGGGAGCATAGAGTTTGAGACTATGAGCTTATAGACCACAGACAGATAACTATTGCTTTAGAGAAGGCTTTAACTGCGTCTGTTCACAAAGCTACTTGGTTTAACATTAATGGTGT